TGATAAGATGCAAATTTACGCGTTAAGCTCACGAACATCGCGTATATATGACGATAACTCGACGAAATATTTCCCCCGAACTGTCGGACTAAACTTATTTAGACTAAAACTATGACCTAAAGTTGCCTCAAAGCAAGAACAGGATGCTGAAAAGTTTCTACCCACAGAAGAACCCCAGGAGATTTTTAGTGTCGCGACCTTAAAGTTAACCTGATCTCAAACTATCATGATACATATTTTAAATCTGAATTATGAGATACGATTTCGCATCAAAACTTCGTATAAACAGATATTCACTTTATATAATGTCCTGTTTTTAACAAATTACAAGTTAATAATATTTAAAATGTATAAATTTCCAATACAATAAACCTCTTAATGTTTCTTTATTTATAAAAAAAATTAGGATTAACAAAATTATTCTTTTTTTAAATTATTTTAAAATTTTATAACAATATTTGGTTTTATTTATCTTTTTTAACGAGATGCTTTTTCTCCAAAAGCGGAATAGGTTTTTAAAGCTTCAATGGTTCACTATAAAAATGTTTTTTGCATGTCGAGAAAGATTTGGGCAACGCTGATTTTATAGCACACTTCGTCACTAGACAATTTTATTGTTCCCCAGCATAGCATTCAATACTTTTTATGGGATACGTACGCGCTTCACCGCGTTCACTTCTTTTCAGCACCGAAAATAAACAAAGCTATGGTAACAATGAAATACGAATTAATATAAACTGCACCGTGATTTTCCGAGTAATTAAATATTATACCGCAATACAGAACAATTTATCTCAATTTGTTCGATAATATTAAATTTAAACAATAAAAGGTATTGTTTCGTATTGCGATTAAATAATACTGTAAATATTATGACTATCATCTTTGAATCAATATTGAACTCGATTTATATATATACTGCTGAAATTTTCTGTTAATTTACATTATTTTACTATATTATCCTTTAGTTTGTATTATAAATTCGGTAAAGAGATATAATACGCTGCAAAACAATTTTTTATATTTACGATCAATTTTACGAGGTTGTTAGACAGAAACATAGGTCGAGATCACGTTACAAATTCCGAGTCGGAATTGAGTCTTGAAATAACTACTTCATTAATCTAAATCCTGCAGACTGTCGCACATCATCATGTATGTTATTGCCAAAGTCAAAGCGTGTGAAAATTTATTTCTACATTCTATGTTACAAGTCGCTAAACGCAAAAATATACAAAACATATATTTATATACACAACTCAACGTAGACAACATGGAATAAGCATACAGTTGCGCTAGATATAAATTTAAAGACTGCGATTTATTTGTTAAAATTTAATATCAGTAGAATAAAATTTTATGAACTATTTTACAAACGTTCGTGAAACTTTTTCACGACATAACTAATTTGTATTTAAACATGCCTATTAAGCGGCGTTTCCAATGAAATTTTAAAGCATAAAACTTAAACTTTATATCTTAAGTCGTAAGAAATTGGTCACAGTTGAATATGAGAGAAATAATCAACTATAATTATATATAATCGATTTTTTATGGCTTAAGACTTACACCTTAAATTTTACGCTTCAAAATCTCATTGTGGACGACGCTTAATCTGCATACATTGTTATTTATTAAACTGAGAAAGTCATTTAAAATATTTAGTAAAAATAATATACTTAGAAATATATTAATATATTTTTGTATAATATTTTTAATAGATCAAATAATTTCTATCGATAAAACCCCAAATAATTATTCAATACCTATAATACGTCCAAATAAACTTCTGTCAAATGCTCATTAAATTCATACGCTTCAACAGAACTTATCATCCAAGACATCCCAATCAAGCGTTTATTTGCAATTACCATTGTTCTGGATTTCAATTCAAATTGTATACACTTTGCATATACTGGCAGCAGCGCAGCTATTTAAAGACTCTCCAATACAACGTTCGAATTTATATTCGAACACATCCCGAACCTGCTCAAAAGTTTTTTGTATTTTGTAAGGTCAGTGTCACCCTCGATTTTTCCACGCGATTGGATGAGACATCTTAAAATATCGGCCCATCGCGTTATAATATAATATCGAGTTATTTTTCAAGTTCTATTCACATATACAGTATCGTATTTAGATATAGTCTGGTACACGTGTTACATCTAGAGAATATATGGCTATTATGAATAAAAAAATACTTCATGTTCTAGTTTCAGTTTGTGAATAATATCCTAAGATAGATGTACTTTTCTTTGTCAAAAAATGTTCAAGTGACAAAAAGATGATGTCTTTCAATTTCCTTAAGAAGTTTCAACTCAATATCAAGAATAAGAACGTCGGCTTTGTGTATCGAACACTGAAATATTTATGTTGTAGTATTAAACTTTAAAAAAGTTTCAATATTAATTGTGTAAATGGATCAGACAAATTGTTGTTAAAGGATAAAGTCATAAAAAAATTAATTTCACTTAATACGACTATCTGAAAATAAAATCTGTGTTATTCAGAATTATCTCGCTTAGTTACGATGCGATTCACGGAATACATCGTTAGCCGCATGTGACGTTTATCTGTTCGTGATACATCGTGCATCGTGATAAAGTAGACACAAGGTGCACTGTTTTATGCGTCCCAACGCCATCACCATCACTTCAGGTGCAAAATATTGGCAACCATATGGCAACACATCCATAATATTGTATCGCGATAACTTAAATTAACGTCACATCTCTGTGATTAATGTAAGTTATGAAATACACTTAGGTTTCGTATTACGGTCTCAAACGACATCTAGATGAAGCAAGATAACACCAACAGGTGTAACTTAGTTATAAAGAGATCTCGTTACAAATAGTTCACAAACATTTACACATTTACAGGATACTTACTTAACAAATAATAATGATAACATTTTTGTCATATTAAAAAATTTCATCTACGCTTGATTAATTATATCGTTTCATATTTTAATGTGTATAATTTTTATATAATATTTTTATAAATTAAATAAATTTTATGGATTAAAAATAAAAATTGAAAAAACTTTGATATTTCTAAATTTTATACCCATCATTAACTTATGCTAGATAAGCCGATAGAATAACATAATTCAATAACGGATTAATAAATGTCACAATGACAAATATAGATTGTGTGCTTGGCGATTATATACTTTAGTATCGAAAGCTTATTCAAGAAATTCCACCATAAATATAATATTTAGTTCAATTTGCCTTGCACCTCATAAAAGCTCGCTTATAACGCCAACCATATGTCGAGGAAATATATTGGCACTACCAGTATATAATCCAGATTTACATCGACTACTTCCAGCTGCAACTGTCAAGTTGATATACACATTCAGGGAGTCTGATTGCGCATCGAAGTAAAAATTTCTTAAATTTAGTACGTTTTATCAAAATAACGGTTTTCCAATTAATGCTCACAGATCCTGTCCAGTAAAACACACGTATATGCTATGCAAAACATTCTACCTGGATAAATATTTGTCTAGCGGATGAAAAAGCCGGAAATCGAATTGGCAGTATGTTTTCGAGCAAAATGAAATATCGATCAATGCATTTGCTGATTGAATATACAGAAACCCTCACGAAAAGAGAAAATTACAAAATAATTTGTGAGACGGGAAGGCAAATGCACCGATAATTTATTTTAATGGATAGCAGATATGACAATTCATTTGTAAATGTCAAGACGAAGTAAAATGTTGGACGAATAATTACGCTATTGGAAACAAAGAAAGGAAGAGAATGAAAACGAAAACGGAGAAAGAGGTAAAAGTGCTTGAGAGTTTAAACCTTCAAGGGAACTCTAGCTATATGAGCTTTTAATTAAATTGAGAAGATGAGCCGTTAATGGAATATAAAGTCACGTTTCAGCAGGCTCGAAATTAACGGGTGCTTGTACACATCACAAAATTCTAGCTCATTTTACTGCATATTAAAGATAAATTGCCCATTACACAACCACAAACAATGTCAGTCTTCTCTATAATAAATATTAATGAGGTACATACTTTGTATCTTGTACAGTTTGAAATTTTCAGCATTAGCTTTGTTACTCACTGCAATCTGTACAATTAATAACGTTATTATACAGCTGTGAATAGAGAGATTATTAGATTATATAATCTCTTTACTTTTATCTTTATAGTAAGATAACAATTGTACTTTTTGTTATCAACAATAAGGACAAAATTCAAGATGATAGGATCAAGAGGGTTTCGCAACATAAAGCAAAAACACCATTGTGTTCGCACTGCAATGTAGACACTTCGGTACTAACGCAGTATTGTTAGCACTTTCGGTTATCGCGCGAGCAAGAAGCCTTCAGTCGTCTCTTTAATTAGTGGTTCAATCGCGGGAGAGACGTAAGAAAACGAGCTTTGTGTGACCGGATAGCTATGTGAGCGCTTGAACAGAAGCAGCGCAAACAATGTCGAATGACATCGACCCGACCGCCGGCGCGGGTGAGGGAGAGAAACGGCGGGAGAGCTCAAAGCTCATCTATTATTGGCGCAAAACAGAAATAAAATGCAGTGCGACGGCCTGTGAAATCTACGAGGCTGACGTGCTGCCAACTTTTGTTCTCTGTGGCTTTGGCTTCAATATTTTCAATTCCCGTTATAGTCCGTGTCGCAGAATTGTGCCACTTTCCCGTCCCGACTCTTCTGCACCGAGTTAATACAGAAAAAAACAAACAAGAAATGCACTGCACACGTATAACAATTGTTCTGTATTGGGACATATATTATGAATGCTACAGCTTTTTCTCGTGCTACATTTTAAATATTAAAAGATTTGATTTCCGAATAAAATATAATTTATGAATTATATTATTTTTTATACACGACAGCTTGAAAGATATATGTTAAAAGAATTACGTGACTTGCATTTTTTAAATTATGAACGCATGAAACGAAAAAAAAAAAAAGACTTGATCGTACTAGCGTTAATAAATTGAAGTGAAGGACTTACCACAGTGATGGGGTAAACTGGATTGATAATTGTGAAGAGGAGGACGTGGTTCGGTTTATTATTGTCTTCTCTGAAACATTAATTGATATGTATTATTCCAGTGAACGCACAGAGAACTTTAATGAAGTTCGCCTTACGGCATAAGTGCACGACCAATAAAATCATGAATTTATCATTTGTCCTCGTTAAAGGTGTTCCAATTATTTGAAAATTCAATTACTGAAGCACGCTCGAAAACGAGGCCTGAATTATCGTCTAGTTTGCAAAAACTAGTTCGCCAATAATAATTCATTCTTCGTTGACTGCAGCACGGACGTCTTGCTGACGTCGCGCAAAATCGAATTGATTGCACTCATTGAAACTAGAAATATTATCCTGGCTTCGTTTTTACACAAATTGAAAATAAAGGAAATCAAATTCTGTAGATCTATACGTATAAATTATATCAATAGCATCTACATCACTGTCATATCCATGAAATTAAAATGTCGAACTTCGTCAAATTTCCTTTCCAATATTAGCGAACTAATTTATTGTATACCGCTAGTAGCATAAACGTAATTCTATCATTGAATTGTGAAGGATATTGTACGAAATGTATTCAAACATATACACATATATAAATGAAAGTATTGTATTTTATAGAAAATTCACAATTCAAAAAATATTTTTGATATATAGAGTGTACGTGGATTGCACACGTGCATCATACAGTGTAACGGATTATGACGTCAAGAATAGGAAGATAGGTATCTCGCATTCTCGGTTGAGGGAAAAGCGAAACGAAGTAATCTCCAGCCGAGATTTGACATGCTCACGTGTTGTATAGTGAAGCAACCGACCGGTGATGGACACCGCGCGATATATTTTTCACAGTTGATATTGGTGTATACATCTCTTCTTCGTGACTTGCATCCAACGTAAAAATCAATCGCTGTAATTTTTCCACAAGTGAAATGGCGAGAATGCCGTTGCATCGTCTAAAAGCATGGAATATCCAATTGCGAGGATCGATACAAATTGAATTACCACTTGTGACGATCATCGTTATTCGAAGCTTATTTGTATCAAGTTCTCATGTTTGCGATTGCGATACGGCTTGTTATTCATAGAACATCTCGAAATGGAAAACACGTCTGCAATAATGCTCCAACATCTTTCTCAGTGATACTTCCAACAAAAAAGTCTGGAGAAGTCTGGAGTTTGAAGATTGAAGTACACGAAGAGATATATTTCTCTCTCTTTCTCTCTCGCAAAAATGAAGAGAATCATAGATTTTGAAATTTTACGAAAATATAGAACTCGTGAATAAAAATAAATTTAATATCGTTTTGCTATACCGTTCTTATTGCTTATCTAACATCTAATATTTGATATCTGCATCTGTGACCGTTCAACGATTCGCCAGTTCGAATTCACTTTACCCAGAAGTTATCGTAAGTTCGTGCAGTAGATATCATTCGCTATCGGATTGCCTCTGCTGGATTGAATTATGCTTAATGCTCGACTTAATTTCTTATTATTAGATTTGGACTATAGGATAGCAGCAGTAGGGTCAAACTTTGTGACAACCGGCTGCGTTTTAATTAATTTTCGCTGTCGCGATGTATAGAACGCATCTTGGCGCTTATCAGCCATCCAATTCCACGCTTGAGCGTTCTCATAATGGCGTGTCATTGATATAATAGGGCACAAATAAGAACGTATTTCTGGATGAAAGACTGCATTTGCATTTTCATTGGAAAGAGCAAATATAATTTTAAAAAGAGTCGTGTAATATAAGATATAATTAAAGATATATTATAAAGTAAAAAAATAATAGTTTAAATAAAGTGCGTGATATTTTTAAAAGTTGTGCAATGTATGATGTGTAAAATTATACAACAGCTGAGAACGATCGAACGAGCGAATTGCATGTGATTGATTTCAACTTGTTTATACAATATTAAGTGGCCTATGAGACTTACGAGACGATCAAATGGCGCCATCAATAGTGAAACTCATTATTGTCCAATTAAAAGTGTTGCAAAAGTTAATGGGTCTACAAAATGATGATGCACAGTGATAACATATCGAGAAACTCAAGATGACGGTAATAAACGTCACTATTAGTTATTAATCAAAAACATTAATTAAAAATAATAATTAGAGTCATTGGCTGCGTTCAGAAGAAAAAGCAGCTTTGCAACTGTTGTAAAATTCTTGAATATGATTGGTTTATACATTTAGATCTAATGAAGAACTAAGAGCAAGACCAATCATATTAAAGAATTTTACAACAGTTGCAAAGCTGATTTTTCTGCTGAACGCAGCCATTGATTACATTCTATGTAAAAAGGTGTATAAAATTTTGGTTTTTGCATATTGATAAATCTTTTGCAATGATAAATAGCTGCCGGTCATCGGTTTGACTGTTAAAGTTCTATCAATTTCAATGCACAAACAAATCGATAGAAGTATTTTTTTAATAATTCCATAATTTTTATTCTAAACATAATTTTGTATATAAGCGGATACATATGACGAAAATTAAGTCAAAGATTATTTACCCTAATTTTATAATTTTTAATTTCCTATTTCTTCATTAACAGAATCCGTTTGATGCACGTGCAATTGTCCACAATTAGTTTCGAAAAAATAAACATACGACTTTCTATTTACGCGAATTAACAATGTATGCAAACCCACCTTTTTCGACGTGGCTCATCTCCGTACCCGCCATATTCGTGATTCTGCAACAAGAAATGAGCAACAGCGTTAGTAATTTTTCTTTGAAAACGATTTGTTTGAAACTCGCACGGATAAAACGCTCTTAATGGCTTTATCCGAGCGACATCATTCGCCTTGCCATCCGTATATGCGGTCAGCAAATTTTCTCGAAAATGCGACTCTCGCGTAACAACTACTTGCAAGACGAAAGTGCGCATTTCCCGAGCAGCATGGTTTCCCTTCCCGGTGTTCACCTCGCAGCAACATGTGTTGCCGTCTTCCGTCGTAAGGAAAATCGTGTAAGACAAATTTGCGCGTCGATTTTGGCTGAATTTCGATGGTGCGCGCGACGTCACTAGTGGATGCGTCGTGCTCGGTCAGTCTATTAATACATGTGCACGCGTCTTTTTACCATGGCACCCAAAGCGACGGAAATAGTGCAGCGGGACACCTTAGGAACTGTGTGACGTATGGACTTAAGTAAATTCTTGCGACCCAATCTGAATCACATAATTAAGGGGCGCAAAAAAGCAAAACTTGCCATTCTCAATCCTTCAAATTAGAGGTTTAGAGATGTAACTATATAATTTACAGTGAAACTAATGATCTAATTCATTGTTGCAAATTCCTCATTTTAAAATTCCATAATTTTTCCTGATTTCTAGACAAAATTTTTCCTGATTTTCAATATTAAAAAATTTTTTATAGGTATTTTCCATCCTGATTTGAAAACCATTAAATATTTTGTTGAGAAATCAATTTAACATAGCAATGTAAATTACTATTAATGTAACTGACACTATTTGATTGACACGATTTTTCCTTGATTTCCCTGACCATTTTTAATTTCCCTAACAATTCCTTGATTTCCTTGATTTCCAGTTTTGTGGCAACCCTGAAATTGTAAGTTTAAATCTTATTATTAGTATTATACAGTTTTTCTTCATATATCATACTTAAAAAACGTAAAAAACATTTTTTTTCTACATTTTCAATTTAGATTTTAATATTAAAAACTCTTTGAAGAAAATTAAGGCTTGTATTCGTAATCCATTCTCATTTTAAGATATATTAAATAATGTCTTAAAATGCTACAATTTCGTGATTTATTTATGTAATATCTTAAGACTGCACTTAAGATTTAACAGTATAAGAACAGACTATGAACACCGACCTATGAAAACTTCTTCTCTCTAGCAATCTTATCAAAAAATTCTGAAAATAGTGATAATTAATCCTCTTGGAAGAACCAGATATCAAAATATCATCAAACATCGGTTCGAACGTTTGATCAAAATGTCGGTACGAAGACTCGTAGCAAAATTATAGACAAGGTTTATCTATTTTTCATACCATGTGGCAAACCATTGCGCGACATGGTTAGTCATTGTGCTTCCGAACATAATCCACCTTGTGAAACCGCGTGCGAATGTCAATCCCCTAAGCGTCTAGTCGCTTCATAACGCGTAATGCGGAGCGCAGCGGGTGTAGTGAATAAAACATGAAGCGGGGTACATTTGTACGTCGAAGTGACGTGTCGCTTGTCGCGGGTAAATAATTCATTCGCATTTTCCACAACCGCGAAACAAGTGAAATCCGAGTATTCACACGAATTCAATTATCAGTACAAGATTATTTGGTAACTTGGTAAATTCTGACTCGCGAAAACATCTGAAACAACCGTATATTATACTGCAACAATTGCACGTGTTGCAACAGGAAAAATTGAAATCAAAAGCTAGCGCTCGTTTGTGGAGAAATAAAAAAAGAACTGCAGATTCATAATGTTCTGAATATATTGCTTTAGAATCATTCTGAATCTATTGTTTAAATACAAAAGCGATTGATTCCATTTAATACAGTTATCTTTTTATTGTATGCTTCTGTCTTTCATTTACATTAACAGATGACTAAATGTTTATTAAATCAATTTGTAAATGAAAAACACGAAACGAAATTCTTTTTTAAATTATCAAAGAATAGTATTTATTACCGCATTACTGTGTTTCAAGATAACTGCGTGTCCGTCAAAGATATATAATTTAATGTATAATACATACATATACTTATAATACATTTCAAAGTTGGAGTAAGTCCACTTCAAAACAAGTTATGTCAAAAAATATCGACAATATAAACATTCCAATTAACACTCTACATTTTCACTGAAAAGAATGAATTAAAAATTCGTGAAAAAATTAAAAAAATATAATTCTCATAAATATATGTTAATTTTTTAGTATTATTAAATATTTTAATATGTAACATCTATTATAGTATCGGCTCAAATACTGCATGTAAAGAAAAAAAACATAAAGAAAATACGTAACGAAGCTCATTCAATTGTGTATGAATCTGTGTGTATGCATTAATGATCCGGTTACAAAATTAGCCTGAATGGCAAAGGTGACAAAGGTGGACTGCCACTTGGTTTACGCGTAAAGTGAGACATTCGAGGCGTATCGTTTTCGCGGAATGTCTAGTCGTTAAATAATGAAGTCGTAAGGACGTGGAGAGATTAACGACCGTTTTTATCCCCAGCTTATTTTCATTGAGAGGAAGTGTTAAACGTGAATATTTATCATTAATAAGAGATTGATAGAATTCTTATTGCCAGTTTGATTCTTTTTAATTCTTTTCTGTGTCGTTACAAGCTAGCATGTTTGTTATTGGGATTACAGCCATTAGTGTACTGTGTTTGATTAATATCATTGTATCTTCTTCGCGGAACATTTCACTGAATAATGAACACGTAATGAATACGGCGGTTTTAATGAATGCCTATTCTTCTTGTGTCTAGGTAGCAATTACTGCAAGAACGTTAAGCGTAAACAAAAACGTACAACATGAATTAGAAATATGTCATCTTCGGTGAAATACAAGGCTATTGTTAGTCAAATTGTATAGAAAAAGAATATACTTTTTTACCGCTACAATTATAATAGAGTTTCTATCTAATTTTTTTTATGTAAAATTGGAACACACTATGAAAAATGTAAAACTGTAACACAGGACCATACAAAAATTTTTTGTTTTTTACGCTTTGTTTAACATATCAAAATATATTTAAATTAGTTCTGCGACCACATTTTAATATTTACTCTTGCTTTTTCCTCAAATTTTCAATTTTCACAGAGATTTTCCATCATTTTTCTCGATTAAGTAAAAAACTGATGGAGCAAAACGGCATACGAATTCCTGGTTTGCGTTCTCCTCAAAATTTTTTTGTGATCTTGTGTAATTATTTTTTTATTTAATAGAATGATGTCGTATTGATTTTACAGATCTGATTCTTTTCCAATTAATGCATTAAACATTACATTTATTTATCGTGTTTGCCTCATCATATCTAGCCTAACACTTTTATGAATGCAAATGGCTGGGGACACCTACTTTCAATAGACTTTGTAGTACGAGGTGCGAAGCATCTAGCCGGAACGACATACGTTCACCGTTATGCGGATTCGCGAATGAGCGCAATTCGAGCGTCGCCGAGCGTAATGATTTATCGCCGACGATCGCTCGTTAATTATTCGCCGCCGCGGTGTCGCGTTCATGACTTGCGAAATGCAGCTGAACGTCCACCGAAAAAGAATACCATGCGAATAAAGCGGTAAGAATCCGCTCGGGCGGACGGCCAAGCGGAGAGACTCCCGAGAGAAGAAGTCTGCGTAGCTAATATCCGACGCACCGCGTCCAACATCTCCGTCGTCACGAACGTCCTATAGCTCATGCATAGTATCGCCGTTACGAGGCAGAATACCGCGGAGATCTGTCATACGTTGTTATAAACATAACTGCTATTGGCGCGCGACCAACCACGTGCTTTCGCGCTCAATGGATGTCACGCTGGTCGTTTAAGAAAAAAATCGCTGTGCTGATCACGCGAGATCATCATCCGGTGTGACCAATGTTAAGGAGGCGAATAACAGTAAAGTGCTTTCATATATGATAAAATACATAGATTTGTTTTCGTATTTTGACTAACATATATTCGAGAAATATCGAATTTAAAAAAACAATTTTATCTTTTAATTTAATTTCTTAAAGTATTAAAATGTTTTTTTCTTTTCAAACAATAAACACTATATTGATCTAAATAATTTATAAACTGATGATATTGTAAATAATATATGTTCTATTTGAATATTTGCATTATTTTAATACTTTTCTTACCTCTAACGAAAGTTTTTTTCCTATCGCTGTTTCATATTTATCGTATATATTATATTTAGCGCATACGCGAGGCAATCGCCATTCTTTTCTATGTAAAATATCTGCATGAAAATTAATCCATAACTTTTTTGTATTCCAAGACGAGACCAAACACATCCTTTCAAATGCAATCACCTTACGAGTGAAAATCGATTATTCATGAGTGGTATATAAAAAATCGTGTCGCTGTTACATCGTGTGCTAACGATAAGTTTTGAAAAAGCCATCTTGAATGATAAACAGGATGCCAATGTTCCATTTAAAGTTTTCCATTTTAAAGACTCAACGTAAAAGTCTACAGGTATATGAACAATTATTTAAAGATAAAATATGCAAAATTATCGCGAATGCACAGACTCGTCGACAACTTGTTCGCTTCTGAACACGGGCGGGAACGCAGAAAGTTCGTTGCAGAGGCGTTGCTCCTGTTTGTAATCTCTTTATCAGCACGTGGCTGGCACATAGCCAATTGACTTTCTCCCCGGTATAGAGAGTAGCAACCTATTCGACTCCTGCAGTTCGCTTCGATTTGCTCTAACCACCGTTCTAGATCGGCTAGAGCGTTGACCGGGAAGAGAATAGACGCGTAAAAGCGTAACACGCGCGCACACCTATGAGTATGTCAATCGATTGAACTGTCGTTCAAATTCAAGTCGATTTACGAAATAGCAAGTGATTAACGAAGATATGCCATCGAACAGAACCGATTCTATTAACGTATATTAAGCCTAAGCGAAGGATTCTATGTATTTTGATGATAACCGATAAAAATAATGGCTAAAACTAATATTAATACCGAAATAGTAAT